GGGGAGATTCAAACAGGAGGAGGCATTGCAGGGGTTACCAGGATGATCATCGAAGTGCGGAAGATGCGGCCAGATACTCCTCTGCTGATTCCAGAGTCCGCCGATGAGGTTGCAAAAAGGAAAATGTCCGTCCAGATTTTGATAGACCGTTTTGCAGAAGACAACTCGCGGACACGCAAGGCTTTGGGGCAAATAAATAAACGTAAAGTGAGCACGGCCACGTTTTGAGGATCAAAGATTTATGTAATAAGTAAACTCTGATCGTGCCCGGTCTGCCTTTTGGAATGAAACTAAAAACAACTCACTATTTGAAGTGTAAATTAGGTAAGCATGTGCAAATGTGTTTTTCACATCCATCCTTCTACTTCGATTATTCTGGAGAAATGTTTGGATTTGGGGAGTTTCGTTTTGCTCCTCCTTTTGAAGTGGCTATCTGCTGTCACGTAAGATGTCAGCTTCAAGAGAGGAAGACTGGTTGGCTTTTCCTCTGCATCGTTGTAAACTAGAAACAGCTTACAGCTGCACTCACGTAATACGAGTACACTACGAGCGTATTAGTTTAATCTTAGAAGTGATTTAAAGGATCATTTCCCTCGCAGCACCAAGGTTTCTTATAGAGTTTTAAATCGATTGGATTGTATGTGTAAAATTTTGCAAAACCGTTTAGCACTTAGATGTTCAGAAAATAAGGATATAGAGAATTTGGCTGTTTTGATAGCTCAGTTTGAGGAAAAACATCATGAATGAACATCATGATTTTTGTGTCCTGAGTTATTAGTTCAGTTTAAAAAGTGAGAAAGTTCTTATGGGCGTCAGTAATAAAAAACGTCGTAGATGTTCAACTTTTGTAATGAATAAGATAACGTCATGGATTCTCGGTCACATCTGTTTTCAACAGATGCTTAGTCAATCAGTTCGACTCCACTAGTCGCTGTGACCACACCTAGCTCCGGTAGTTTAAGGCAAGTGGCAAAATACTGATCAAGGTCACCTTCATCTTTTTGTGATCTTTATGGTCCTTCCAACTAGCTGGAATTGAAGTCACCTTTTTCTTGTTTATGTGAAATCCTCTTCCATTCTTTGCGTATTAGGCATGCATAGTGCCTATTAGCGGTTGTTTAAGCCTCGTAACATCCTGCGTCCAACTTCCCCTTCGGTGAGAAATAAACAACTGCGTTAGATTTCGTGTTGTTTGAAATAAATCACGAGGATTTTAAAGATCTTGTGCTCATCCTGATGTAGCATCATTGACAATGACAGTCGAACCGTCACATTCATGATACATCCCCAAACGTAATTACTTCTATGTTTGCTTGCCACGCTTCCGGTTAAAAGATTAGCTTTCTAAATGTTCTGCCATCTCAAGAATTAAAATCACATTATATTAGTAGCAATCTGATTGCGTTTGCCCATGTATTTTTAAGAAGACGATGTGAATGTTGAGGCTGTAAACAATGCTGGAAATGTCCTTAGGAAAACAGCTTTCATTTGCGCTTTTCTCTGACACATTAAGCACTACTTGGACCATGACCTCCATCGAAGTATATTTGCTGGATGCCAATTTATGCATGCGGAAAATGGGCGTTTCCTCACGGGCTTTGACTAGTTTTGCTCAAAAACTCTAGTTCGGAAAGAGTTTACAGTTTTTTCATGCCAGCCGCACTCGTAGCACGTCACAAGATTACATGGGACCATTAAAAAACAGACAGTTATTCTGCCTATCTATTATCCTGATTCATGAGCTGCTGCTTACCCCACTGCATGTCAAGCTGCGACGTTCTACATACTCAAAATTTCAAGTTAGCTTACATTAAGTATCAGAAGATGGCTTAGTTACCCAACCTGATTTCTAAGCAAACCTAAGATCAGGCAGATCGAAGCCTTGCTATTCTTGCCTGCGTAGTTATTCTGAAAAACAAACAGGTTTTCTGTTATAGATCGAACACCCTCGTACGCACGCCTAATCAAGCTTACTTCTGCCTAAGTTGAAATAGTGCTGACCCCTGAAAAATTGGGTACGAAACGAGTCCTCTGGTCTTTTCGCTGCACTCTATGCCAATTACACGGCGTCTCAATGGCCTGACCTTGTTGCACTCAAGTATTATTGTTGCGCGCTGATGTCACAAAATAGGCACCGTCTGAAAGTTATTTAGCGGTGGCTCATGATGACAAATATCCTAGACAAAGCAACACCAAGGCTTCCAGGATGTCTAGGTAAGCTGCACAGGTCACAAATCACCATACTGCAGCACCTTAAAAGTACATGCTTTTGCAGTTTCCTCCAGCCACTATCCAATCATTGTTTAAAAGTCTCTACTTTTTCATTGGATTCGCATATACCAATAGAGCTGGAATTAGGTGAGAATGGCTACTCGCAGCGAACACGACTGAAGTGACTGTTTCAGACTTTTGTCAAATTTACTTCGTCTTTATTAGTAATAATTCTTGATCGTATACAAGCGTGTGAAAAATATTCCTTCTATGCTCTCCAGTAGTTGGGAATCACCATTTCTGTGTGGGGTTGAAACATTTGCTTTTCGTGTGTGTATTGGCTCTCGACATCACGCACTTTTTACTTTATCGGCACTTACTTCTGTTATGCTGCAATAATCATACAATAATATAAAATATTATAATAGAGAGGCCGGAAGAGAAAAAAAGGCTTTTTTTCTTTTTTTACTTTCAGCATCCTTTTAAGTGGTCCTGGTATGTTTTATGCTAGCAAATCACAGTGCTGATACGCACCATCAGTGTCAATCTAGTTCTACCTGAAAAATACTAATTTGCTTGTTTGAAGGTTTTATTTATTTGAGTAAATCTTGATCTGCCTTCGGATTAAAAAGAAGCGAATGCCCTGAGCAGTTCAGTAGTTTGCACTGTGGAAATGTAATTTACAAATTAGATAGTTGATTGGATTTCAACATTATATTCCGTAAAAAGAGTTGAGTGGAATCCAGCTAATTTTCTAAACATCGCACCCCCTCATCGGCCTAGGCATCTCGTAGTGGATTTGACGGTCTTTAATGAAGACCCTTGCGAGATGAAGCTACTGATCACATCCAGACTCAGAAATCCATATCCACGAATTTACGTATCATTTGATTCCAGGAGAGGGACCGATTAAGAGGAGCACAGTCCAATAAAAATTTTTTAGGAACGTGGTGTCCAAGAAAACGGTGGCTCCTGATCTTTTCAAAAATCTTGTCCAGGGCTGGGAATTTCGCAGAGAAACAAACGCGTTTCTGAACAACGTGAGGTTTCCCTTAGGAATGCTATAGCCTTTAGTAAGCTAAAGATGTTTCGTACTTCCAAGGTTTGCTCAGCTTTTCTTGTTTACTGTCTGGATCTACCGAATGAAATGTCTGTATGTGGTCTGTTATATGATTTTTTCCTTTGCAGGTCCGTCCGTATGTACCGACCTTGCTTCCCTTTTTCAAGACATTCGCACTTTACTTCATCCTTTTTTGCTCAGATCCGCCATCGCTCACCTACTGTATTTTCAAATGCGCTCCAATCTGCTGTCTGATCTTCTTTGTGCACTACCAGGATCTTCACATCGCCGCCAAGAATGATCTTAAAGAGGCGGAAAGACATCGTTACTCAAAATGCATTCTCTCCGGTCTCGTATTGTCCTGCCTGGGTGATGCTCTGCTCGTGGGTCGGGCCCTTGGTCTATTTGTGCCCGGTGTACTGGCCTTTCTGATCGCTCATCTAGCCTATCTGACCGCTTTTGGCTTCCGCCCACTCGCTCTGCCTCTTCTATCACCCTTTCTACTGTCCTATCTCACGATAAATCTGTTTTTAAGCTCTTACTTATCCGGTCTGCTGACTTTCCTGGTTCCAATTTATACCCTTATTCTTGGCACGATGTTGTGGCGAGCACTGGCTAAATCGTACACCGAGGAGGGGGGCCTACGTAACCTCCCGTCACTATCTCGTGTGGTGGGGGCGGTCACCTTTGCTGTCTCGGACACCTTGCTGGCGGTGGAGGAGTTCGTTTGTCCTCTACCACTCTCTCAATACAGTATTATGCTCACTTACTACTTGGCCCAATTGGGTTTGGCGCTCTCCACCGTCACCATTCAACCGGCCAAACATCGCATCATTAACTGACACGTATGTCCGAACCCCAACATTGTACCTATCTATACTTATGATATTCCCAGAGTTTACTTATATCTGACGCTACGATCGCCTCAAATGTCTGTCAGAATAGTCTTTGTCGTATGTGTTTTTCATTACTATCCTGGAGACCTGTTATACCTTTTCATCATATTGTATGTTACCTGTTTGATGTTTCTAACATAT